TTTTTGACAGCAATTGATGCTATTGTTCTGTACAAGTGAAAGGGAGAAAGAACAAACACAATAATTTTTTGTACACATTCAACAACACTGTAAGTTTTCGGAGGGGAATGAGTAATCTAGATACAGTGCGAAATAGCGGTTTCAACTGTTTTTGGATGAATTTACACTAATACGTCGCTAATGCTTCAAAAACAAAAACTATCATCTCTCTCAGAGGCAAATGTCACATTTGTTTATTGTCTCTCAATTTAATTTGAAAATCCGGGTGTTTTTTTTGTCTAATGCAAGAATGTAAAGTCAAATCTATTCAAGCAATCATTTATCTAAATTTTTTCTATTCATTTCAATAAAGGATACAAGCAATATCATCGAAAAGTTCAATTGCAATAAAATAAAATATATTTTTTAATTGATACACAATTTTGCAGACACGCTACTTCATAAATTTCCTCACTATGTTTTGCGTTTATTCTGGCATGTAATATTCTGCGATTGGAAAGAAATATAAATTGTTAATTAGGCCTGTTGCCGAAATATCTTCTGACATATGATCGTCATGAAATTGAATGGTGGTGACATTGGATGAAGTCTCTCTATCAACTTTAGATTTTAGTAGAGTACCTGTGGCACAGTTTTTTGGAGGATTTAGCTTCAATCGAATTTCGTATATAAATCCTGGTTTAATGAAAATCGCATTGGGCAAAATAACGATTGTTTGACCTGAACTCTTCAATGTGGCTTCTCCATCGTATTTCACGACTTCATCTTTGAGGTCCTCGGAATTGGATACTTCAACTATAGTTATTTCCATTGGAACATCTTCACAATCACCATATTTTTCATTACAATATTTAAAAGTTCTAACAAGCCCGAAACCTCTTAGCATTAGTGGTTCATTGGTGGAGATCTTCGTAGTTTCTGATTGTTTTATGAAATATGGGTGAGATGATTTGTGTTTAGAGAGCATTCGACAACAGTCAAACACATGTGCATTCTTCCATGGACCATGGATCTAATTTAAAGCGTTTGACACGAATTTTGTTGAACTTTGTCGCTTGAATTTCATTGCCTGCGATTATTTGAATAATATCTGTATATTCAGCATCCGTAAAAATTGTTCCATATGTTGAAACCAATGCAGCAAATACCTTCAATGATATCGACCCAAAACGAATTTCGTAAAACAAATCACAAAGTTGAGCTTGCACTAGCTCTTTAGTCAATTCATTCTGTTTGCTAGTTCCATTAACCCAAGACATGCATGACTCGAAGAGATCGATCTCTGTGCATGACAACCAATTCAGCTTCAAAACTTCAGCCAAAACCTTTTGATTACAAGCCAGAAAACCAGTTGACTGGAATATCGCATTTGTGTTGAGTCCAATAATTGTCTCACATGATCGCTTTAGATCTTGTTGATTGTAGAGAATAGCCAATCCATAGCTCTGAAAAACGTTATCATCATTGAGATTATTTTTCAGGAACTTGCTGCAAACCGCCATACACCCGGCCACATTGTACATTTCACCGAGATTCATCACTGCAGTGACGTTTTCCATCGTCAGCTTGACTTGACCAAAGTAGAAAAACTGCAGAAATTGCTTGAAAGTAGCGGCCAATACATCGCCAATCTTCACCTTATCCATCTCCTTCTATGATCCATTGAACATTGTGGCGAAGACATCGCTGCCAGCCATCAAGAGTACTTTGTGCGCCGGCACTCATTCGCTGCCATCACTTGATTCGAAGACAAAGTATACATCGGCCACTTTTTTCCGATTGCCACGAACGTTTGACTTATGTAATCGTTGGTTAATGGATTATAAACTGACATTTTTGATGATTGTGCTCCTGCTTTCTTTGGTAGATGTGGAATAAATGTGCTGTAAAAAGTATGACAAAAAGTGTTACATATTTTTATGATTTGAAATCGGTATCTTAAGTTGAATTACATAATAACGAAATTTTTGAAGAAAAAAAGTCACCCTCAAATGTATGTTGATAATGTGGTTGAGGTTATTTTCGATAGCTGTAATGAGATTTGCTGATTATATACCTGCGAATTTTCAGCTGCAATACGACTTATTCTGTTCAGTTTAATTACATTAATGGATATTATTGACTGCAGTTAGTCATTTAGTCTATGCAACATTCGTATTTCAATTGCAAAATTCAAGGTGATTACGTTTTTTATCTGCAATTTATTGATATCTAACGATAAAAATATTCACAATTGTTGAAACAATGAAATTATGAACTTGATCTAATCTAATCAATTTGTTTTATCAGATAATAAAAAGAACTTGAAAATTCTGCTAAAAATGTTTACCGTTTTGCTTTTGATGTTTTCAAGCAGTAGTGGAGACGCAGATCACAGCTCATTGATTGCTATTACCAAGTAAATAAGCATGGCTGCTCCACTAGTTAGTGTAAAATTTAAAAAAGCATAAATGGTATAAAACCTTCGCACGTTCTTTAAGAATTATTTTGAAGCACAGACAGAAAAAGCAATTTTTTTAAACATTAAATCACACTTTTCCGTCGTTTAAACGATAAACACGGAATGATTGCGATAGTAAATGCATAATAGGTATGTTTCTGTTTGAAATTTGAGTTTCGTTCTGCATGTTTGCTGGTATTAGTGCACATTGTGGGATAACGTTACTGAGCTATAAATGCAAAATGTAGAAAAAGAAGGAGAGACAGCAGATAAAATTGTGTTAAGCTCAATGTTTTTACACACACAAGTCGGCGTGTGAGTTATAATAATACTGTGTAACGTAGTGTGTGCTGTTGCCTGAAAAAAGAAATATTTCGCAGTTTTTTTCCACTCAAACAAATCCAAACTATGCCCGAATGCAAACATTGAACAATGATTCCTACTCACAACGAACTGTCTGTATGAATTTTGATCTATTAAAAATTATATCAATCGGTCATCATTATCTGTTTTGGTGCAGTCCATGTAAAGTAATAAATACTGCTGTTTATTCGAGCAAGGACAAGTGACTTCAGTTTGGCCATGTTTTCGATATTCATCCAATCATTTGTTTTGTATTCATAACGAGCTTTTTTCGAATTCGATTTAAAAATTGAAATAATATCTTCGGAAAATTTTTTTATTTCATATTTGTATTTGTATTCGTATTAATTTTTGTAAGGGACAATGTAACAATACTTGAAGAATTCAGTTCTAATCAAAGAATATTCAGTTCAATATCCTGGCTCATATTAATTTCCGATTTGGCAAAAACGAAGATAGCTTATTAAGCCTGTTGGTGATTTATCATCCGGTAGGAATGGGTCATCATGAAATTGGATGTTGATGCCACCCTTCATTTCAACTTCAGATTTCAGTAGAACGCCCGTTGCACAGTTTTCTGGAGGATTTTGTTTCAATCGAATTTCGTACATAAATCCAGGTCTAATTAGAACCGGTTTGGGTAGAGTAATCGCTGTTTCTTCTGAACTCGTCAATGTGGCTTTTCCATTATATCTCACCAACTCTCTTTTGGATTCATCAGAACCGGACGTTTCAACTATTGTTATTTCTGTTGGAAGATTATCACAATCGCTATATATTTCGTTGCAATGACTTTTGATGAAGTCAAGAGTGAAACCTTTTAGCAAAAGTGGTTGGTTGCTTGAAATCTTGGTTGTTTCCAAATTTGAGACAAAATATGGGTTTGTCGAACTGAAACGTGAAAATAATCGACTGCAAAAAATTTCATTTCTCTCAACCCACGAATCCGAATCACAGCGTTTCTCACGATTTTGGTTAAATTTATTTGATTGAAATTCTTTGTTCGTAAACATTTGAATGATGTCCACATATTCAGTAGTCGTGAATAACTGACCGTATGTCGGAACCAGCGCTCCAAATTCTTCGAATGACATCGATCCAAATCGAATATCATAAAGTGAATCACCGAGTTTAACTTGCACCAGTTCCTTGGCTAGATTGTCTATCCCGGTAGTTGCTTTAACCCAACACATGCACGCTTTGAAGAGCTCGACCTCTGTGCACGACAACCAATTCAGTTTCAGAATCTCGGCCAACACTTTTTGATTACACGACAGAAAACCAGTTGACTTGAGCACAGAATTTGCGTTAAGACCGATAACCGTTTCACATGACCGCTTCAAATCCTCTTGGTTGAGAAGTATTGCCAATCCATAGTTTTGGCAAACGTTGTCATCGTTGAGATTGTTTTTCAGAAATTTGCTGCACACTGTCAAACACTCGGCCACATTGTACATTTCACCGAGATTCATTACTGCAGCGACGTTTTGCATCGTCAGCTTAACTTTGCCAAAGTAGAAAAACTGGAGAAATTCCTTGAAGGCAGCGGCTGACATATCGACAATCTTCACCTCATCCTTCTCCTTCCATGATCCATTGAACATTTTAGAGAAGACATCGCTGGCCGCCATCAAGAGCATTTTGTGCGCCGGCACTCGTTCGATGTCATCATTTGATTCGGAGACAAAGTGAACATCGGCCAATTCAGAGTTCAAGTACAGCTTTTCTCCAATTGCCGACAACAGTTGAGTTGCGTAGTCACTGTTTAATGGATCGAAAACCGGCATTGTTGTTGACTTTGCTCCTTCCTCACGATAGATGTACTGCAAAATGAACGACACAATGTGTTACATATTTAATTGATTTGAAATTGGACTTGAGTTGAATTAGAAAATAATTAAACTGAAATTCACTTTCACTCACCTTCAACTGTGGTTGAGGTTATGCTCGATGTTTGTGTTCAAATTTACCGGTTCCCAGAGAGAGATTGAATGTTCGGCTGCAACATGACATTTGTTAGTTTGTATGAAATCCATTTATTCAATCGAATGTAATCAATTCTCATTTCAATTGCAAAATTTATTGCTTTGAATTGTGAGTGTGTTCTTACCTTCAGATTGCAGTTGTCTTTGCACACAATAAACAAGGGCTCAATTGTTTGTCCCAACTATGTAATCACTTCAATGTTCGGCTCTAATCGATTTGTTCTGTTGACAAGTGTGGATTTTCGGAATGATTTAATCGAATCGCGAACAAAAACAATATGAAATTATGAGAGAATTATTTATTGTGCATTCAATGAAACTTTTCTATTGTCAAAATCATGAACACCGAACGATTGTGTAGAAATAATGTTTTCTGTTTTGACGTTTGGATTCCCTTTCGCATGCGTGTGGGTATTTGTACGACATGCATAGTGCTGGATCACAGAGCTGTGATTGCTGGCAATGTATTGAGCCGGCTTTTTTGACAGCAATTGATGCTATTGT